GGTCTGAAAACTGCAGAAGAGATAGCAGACGGTTCAGACACAAGACTCGGGCCTTTTGCCAAATTGATCCTTGTAGGTTGGCTGATAAAATCTTAATGCTTAATACTTAAATAACATGGAAGAGAGAACTAGTTTGCAAACTCCCAAGAGGGGCTACTGCTGTTAACCAGTGACAGAGCTTTTCAATTAGACCATACCACCTCACACTAAGCTTTAGTATACTCAGTACTAGTTAGCAATGTAGGGCCAAAAGAAACTACAACCATACCCCAGTACCTACCAAGGATGCATTCCCAAAATACATAACATTTGGCAGCTTGACAGAGGATAGCTACTTTTCCCATAAGAATTAGTGTAATAAACGGGGGAACTGCAGGACTTCAGAAAAAGACTTTAAATACACAGTGATAGTAAGTATGAAGTAGAGCATCACAGAATGTTTGAGCTTGAGAGGGGCCTCTGGAGATCATGTGGTCTGACCCCCTTGCTCAAACAGGGTCACTGAGAACAACCTAACCAGGACCATGTTCAGACTCGACATAAGAAAGAAATTTTTTACAGTGATGGTGGTGAAACACTGGCACAGGTTGCCCAGAGAGGTGGTAGATGCCCCGTCCCTGGAAACATTCAAGGCCAGGTTGGACGGGGCCCTGAGCAACGTGATCTAGTTGAAGATGTCCCTGCTCACTGCAGGGGAGTTGGACTAGATGACCTTTAGAGGCCCCTTCCAACCCAAACTATTCTAGGATTCTATGATTCTGTGTCCAGATGGCTTTAGAATCTGTCTCCAAGGTGGGAGACTCCACAACCTCTCTGGGCAAGCCAGAGTCACCCTCACAGTGAAAAAGTCTTCCTTTATGTTTAGTTGTGATTCAGTTTGTGTCCATTGCCTCCTGTCCTGTTGCTGGGCACCACCGAAAAGAGCCTGGCTCCTTCTTCTTTACACCATCCCCTCAGGTATTGGTATACACTGATTAAGATCTCCCAATCCTTCTCTTCTCCAGGCTGGACAGTCCCAACTCTCTCAGCCTTTCATTATAGGAGAGATGCACCAGCCCTTTAACCACCTTTATGGCGCTTTTTTGGCCTCTTTCCGGTATGTTCATGTCTCTCTCATGCTGTGGAGCCCTGAACTGGACACAGCACTCCAGGTACAGCCACACCACTGCTGAATAAAGGGGAAGGATCACCTCCCTCAACCTACTGACAACAGGATGGAGAAGCAGAAGCGAGGTCAGGGTCACTGATTCATCAAATAGAAAAGATGAGGATCAGAGTTGTCCAGCAAAGGAGATGCTGACATTACATAATGGATCGTGTTATAGAAGATTTAATCACCATCAGATTTCATAGCTATCACTTTCCTTGAGTAATTTAATGGAAAAGAACAGAAAAGCGAGGTGATGGTGACAATTAATACTGCACTGTATTAAATGCTCAGCAACAGAACTCTGTAGTATTAGATAAAGAAGAAACAGATACAGCAAAATGTTGTTGTACCTGGGTAACTAGTTCTAATTTCCTCACTACGATCAGACTGCCATTTAACAGCACACATTTGAGATCACATAGAATCTACCTAAAAGTAGCTCAGTGCTCAAACATGTGGCAACACAGGTCAGCCGTGCTGAACCCCTTGCAAAGAGGAAAGCTCTTCCTACCATTTAGAACAGACTCGCTCCTCTCCAGAGCTCGCTGCCCTTCACTGTTCGGTGACGGTAAATCTGCCGTACACGTAGCCTTCTCTGTGAAGTGTTAAGCACGCTAGTCTGAGCAATGCTCCAAAGGCTAATTACTACTGCTTCCCCGCACCTGCCTTTTAACTGGGGGGGGGGGGGGGGGGGGGGGGGGGGGGGGAGGGAGGGGGAGAAGGGGAATAAAAAGCATGTTAACAAGATTGAAGAGAAAGGATAGATGAAGGGGGAATAAAAAAATAAAAATGTGAATTGGGCAGATGGATCGTGAAGTCAAGAGGTAAAATACTACAGCCCTGCTGAGGCAGAAAGTGAGGAGAGCTTCCCCTGGAACATCACCAAGCAGCGGGCGCGGCGTTAAGCGGTTTTAAACGCTTCCTGCCGTTCCGCGGGGTGTGCGCGGGCGGGCCCGCCAGCGCCGGGCCGGCAGCGCCCCCTGGCGGCCCGCCCCGCACAGCGCCGCCAGGCACAGCCCCGCCCGATAGCCCCGCCCACCGCCCCGCCCACCGCCCCGCCCCGCCCCCCGCCCCCGGTGTGCGTTCTCCCCGGCACTGCAATGACGCATCTTCGTTACAGAATAAAAAGCCATTTTCGTTGTCTAATATCACTTACAGGATCTCGTACCGGCTGTACTTTTTACTGATTTACTCTGTTGACTTATCCGAATATTTAAAAAGTTAACTTTTCAGGTTACACACAGGTTGCCTTTCAGGGATTTCCTGGTTAATCTCCTTTTTAAACCACAAAACTTCCTCTTGTCTCAAATACTGACAGGCTGCCGCACTACACCCAAAACCAGCGTTTGCTGTCCTATACCACTTGTTGCCCACACATACACCTATTCAATTTAGTTACATACATGCTGGACTTGTAAAATTGTCCCTTTCTTCGTAGAAAGCCGGACTGCAACACTGTTCAGAAACATGACAGTCCCCGAAAGGAACAGTAAAATAAATATTTTACTACAGTATTTATACAGCACAGTGCTTCCAATTCCCCTCCTTTCAGGAGGGGAGTAAATATGCAAGGCGAGCTAGAAAGCAAAGTCACAGTGATGCAATCTGGTGAAATAATGGATTGTGTTAGACACAGACTCTGGAGAGCTCTCCATCCCTTACACACTCATTACCAGAAGGCAAGCAGACATAGGCTCCAATTCATAGATCCCAGGAAACAAGAGTGCAGTAGTCATGACAACATGGCTTACTTATTTATTGCAAAGCATTTGATTTAACTAGGAAAGTGCTCAGAAGAAACCAGAAATCAGTAGAAGAGCAACAACAAGAAGATTGTACTGAATGGCATTTAATAGTGAAAGAACTTCAGAGATCTCTTTCTTTCTTGTGGTGTTTGCAATCAGTCCTGCAATTGCAAGATCTTTATAGTAATTCCCCTTGGTCTGTGTTGGTAGGCAGCAACCTCTAACACTCCTGTTACTGAGCTCCACTAATCCAGCTATAAATTCAGCATAATCCTGATGGCTCTCTTTCAGAAGCAATTTTTCCACCTCTTCACCCAAGCAGTCTCTAGTTTCAGTTGTGCTCTCAATATCCCTCCTACTTTGCTATTCTTAATGCCATTGCAAATTTTAAAAGTACGTACTGAGCTCAGACTTTAGAAGAACTCACAGTATCTACTGTACCACTACTTAACCAAATCAGCTCAACTGCTACAGCGCTTTTCCCCCACACCAGCAAAGTAGGCATATCCACAGCACATACTTCTCCCAGACCACCCAACAAGCCAAAGAAGTGGAATATTAATACTGACATTTTTCATCATCATTCAAACGAGCAGGCTTGCAGGCAGAAGCAAACACTTTCAATTCCAAAAACTTGGCTTGCAAAAATACTTGATCATGTTAAAAAAAAGCCCTTCTGATTACACAATTCAAAGCCATAGTCCAAAAATCTAAGACTGTTCCTGATAAACTGATGAGATAAGATGATCTCCTGTGTTCTACACTCCAGGACATGGTCTCTAGACTCATGTAATCATCAGCTCAGGCTAGCAACCAGAATTCCTATTCCAACTATGCACTGTCATTACATGCTGACTGGGCATTACTTACAAAGAAAGGGGGAGTGGGGGGAAGAGGGGAAAAAAAAAAATAAAAATCAAGATTATATCCTCTGTGTATATATGTATAGTAATTACAACACCTTCCACATTTATCTCCTCCTGGCTTTGACAGGAATTGCAAAAGAAACCTGCCTCTCACTTACCTCTATATACTCTAATTGCCAACACAGTATATGAAATGGCAGAACAAGAAATTGCAACTTAATGAGGAAACTATAACAGAATGCCCACCAAGAAGGGATGGAGCAGCAAATTGCTAAAACCATCTACTTGGTTCATATTCCCAAACAGTATAAATGCTGTATCAGCATCTTACTCTCTTAAAGGAAAAATATAAAACACATTTATGTTATCCAGAGACGTGTCATGGTATTTTAACCAGGAAGGTGCTAATAAGAATTTCAGCCTTCTCTGGGTTAAGCCATCCACAATGATTATGAGTGATTGTGTTTTAAAAGTCACTGAACTGGAGACAAAGCTCAAAATGTATCATCACTTGCAGCAACGTTAGCAGCTGCTATTCAAAATAAAGCAATGCCTACTTTGTTGCATATGTACATCAGCAACATTTATACAGTGGGAAAAATGCATTTCCTGTACAAATCCAGGGCATGTCATTGCAAACAAGGGTTTTAATTAAAATTGGCATTTTTGAGCCTCCTACTGCCTAACAGTGTCTCACTGCCACCTCCTCAGATGGCTAAACCGGCTTCCAAGAGAGATAGTGGAAAGAAGCAAAATCACTAGAATACCTAACTTTGACAAGTCTCTGCTGGGGACAATTTCAATAACAGGATGCTGCAGAGAGAGGTAAGGCGAGAATAGATGACCACGTAAGAAGTCTTCCCTAATGAAGGCTCAAAACATCAGAAACAAGACGGTAGAGGAGGCATTTTATTCCTAAACCTGGATTTATTCCTAATCCCAGGATGATGAAGCAGGACAATTTTAATCAGAAACCATACTGTTAAAGAGAATGCAGAACAATGTCCACACCTCAGTGGGTACAGCTTTCCTTGAACACAAAAGTAGGCTTAGAGGCTGGCTAGACCTCTGGCTTGGAGGTTGGCTCAGCTGGCAGCATTAACAAAGCTTTATCCCTCTCAGAAAACAGGCAGACATAGGCTCTCAAGTCAATGGATAGATAAATACAGAAGACTTCCTTGGCCAGAACATTTTCCCTAATTTAATGCGAAGAGTTTACATTGACTGCTAGTACTGTACCTTCAGGAGGCTCTTCCCGCAGATGAGGAGGCAATTCTTCACTTGCTGTCTCAGTTTCATCTTCCACCATCTGTGTTTCTAAGCTAGGTCCCTGTAGAATGGAACAGCAAGAGGAGGTAAATTGGAGAAAGTTCAGGAAGGAACCACAGAAATAATTACAGGATTAGATAATATGCCAGACAGTAAGGACATAAGGAGCTCACTTGATCTGATGAGAAAGCAAGCTGCTGGGAGATTTGTTTGCAGTTGAATTATTTTCAGGAAGGGAGAAGGGAAAAAAAGGGCGGTGGGGGGGAAGGACTCTTCAAGCTAGCAAGCAAAGTTACAAGGGTCTGAGTAGACTAAAATCCAGGAACTGAATGGTAAAGTGCTATTTCTAAAATACACAGTGCCAATAATAAATTCAAATCTCCATTTACCAAGGGTGGCAGCAGATTTTCCATCACTTGGATTTTTCACAAAAAAATCCAATCTTTGATTTGTTTTACCAAGACTAGATTCTGAAATATCTGTGGCCTGTTCAATACAGGAGATCAACATGGGTTATACTAATGGTCCCACGCCTCATTTTTCAAAGGAAGACAAAGCAAACTGCTTTACAATCTTCTAACCCATCCAGGTCCACTGACCATGTAGTTTTCTTGTATGTGCCCCTATACACATTTGTGCCCATATGTGTAACATGCTAAATTAACCACTCCTGAAAAACTATCCAATTGCCCTCCAAAGTTTTGCATTTCCACTTTCCAGCCTTCATGATCTTGGAAAGAGCCTGCAAGGTTGCTGCTGGAAGGATGCGAGCAGTTAGCAGATTTGTAGACTTAGACACCATTCACTTGTATTTAAGGCTGCTGAAACTCCGTTTATGCATACACAGTATTTTCATGACTCGGGGAGCTATTAAAAGTGTAGTTGCTTTTCCAGTTTCAAACTATCGAAGAAAAAAACAAACCAAAACACTGTCTGCTCCCTCCCACCCCCTTCCCCCTTTTCTTTAAAGCAATGGCAGAGTAAACACTAGGCATAGTTGCAGAGCTCCTTAAAAAAAAAAAGAAAACCCAACCAAATTTTCTTCTTTTAGAATGCTAGTATAGTCAAGATTGCAATCAGCAGCTTAGCAGTCATTAGGAAAGAAGGCTTTTGAGCACTTTGAAAACATGAATGGGTTTGTAGACTGAACTATCTGAAAATGTGTATTAACATATGCAACTGGAACGTTACAGAAGCCAGCTTAAACACTGTCTCATCAACAGCTTTCTTCTCAGGAAGAAAAAGAGCTCACAGCATTAAAGCTTCAGTATTTATTTTTAATACTTTCCAAACCCTGTGACTGTAAAGTTACCCCCAACAGCACTGCATACTTTCTCTGTTTCTTCATTTTGCACATGATAAAGACTAACACACTTCTTCAATTTCTTCCTTTGTTCACGTAGCTGACATTTTCATCCACTCCTCATTTTTTCAGCAAAATGGACATGGAAACAAGTACCATCACATTGTTTTCAAGAGTCTGATAGCAGGGAAAAAACAGACCACACAGGTGAACTGTACAGGGCTACTGTGTTAGTGGCCCTGTCGCAACCTTGATTTCTGCCATCCACGACTATGCAAGCTTTACCAAAGCTATTTACCTATTTCTCCTTATTTAAAAACAGCTGGTATCAATACTGCCCAGCTTCGGTCAGTGAACAGTTCAAACACTAAATCATGCCTTGCAGTTGCTATCATGGAAAGGAGAACAAAACATTTTTCCCACAGAGTACAGATGAAAAATTAGTAAATTGCGTCATTTGGTCCAATTAAAAAACAAATCCAAGAGTCAGTTATCAACACAGAGGTCTAACAATCTCGTCTCTTCACCTAAATAACATGATCTAGATTTTAAGAATGTGTAAACAATTCTGGATAGGAACAACAAAATTGAGTAAGTTTCTACATTAACCACATGCAATATATTTATATACATTTCTTTCCTACCCATTAATGCTGCAGAGAGAGAAAGGAGAAGACATGGCTACATTAAGTATACCAAATCAGAATGTTTATTTTCATATAAAATATGTAGACATGTAGGACATGAGGTACCAATATTTGCCTTGCAAACATTATGAACCACAACTACAAGAACTTCTAAACTAGAAGTGGTCTCAAATCTGAATCCTTTGCCTGTACTTTCCAGTTTGCAACACCAAAATTATTTTAATTAACACACACAAAAAAGTAACAGAACCCTCTGCACATAGTCCTTACTAACTATATGCTGCCCAAGGAGACAGTCTGACTTCCAGGGACTATGGAAAAGCCTGTATGAAAAACATGATCTTTCCTTCTTCAAAATAGTCAGTAGTCTCACTTTGCTACCATGAGACAAACTTGCTCAGTGGCTTCTCCCAACAACAGGCTGTGATAGTGATGGTCCTTAGGGTTACAGCTGTTGCAATCTACATAAATACAAAGAGGATGCAAAATGCTATCAAAAGTGAGTGGTGGCATTACTGTTTTTTTTTTTTTCCTCTATGCATGAACTCGGTGTTCACTAGCAGTACAACTCCCCAGCATGGTGGTTACCACTGACAATACTTACCCTGAAATAGAGGTTTATCTTAGTTGAAGGTCAGCCTTAGCCCTAAGCTAGTATCAACAAATCCAGATGTGAAGAAAACAGAACCCACCACAGACCACTGTGAAGTCCATGCCTGAGACGATGTTTGCCATCACCTACTTCCCTCCAATTCAAAACTTTAATGCTTGCTACTGGAAACCCACTGAAGAAACACACACAATCCAGCATTACTACTACTACAGAATATTAATCTCTCAGAGAAATGGCCAGAATTTTTGAAGATTTTTTTTTCCACTACTCAAAACCAATTAATCACAACAAAGCATATTTTGAACTGTATTTGGTATGCATTTCCTGTATTTTTTGAGAATCTTCCCCCAAAAAACTGATTTACAATTTAACTTCAAAATTTAATGTTAAAAATTGAAAACACAGTCTAGACTGAACCATGGCATGTCAAGTAACCACCAACATAACTTTTCCCAGAATTGTTTTGCAAGAAACCTTGAAATCTTGAGATTTCCTAGTTTGTCAGATGAAGTTAGAAATGTTTTCTATGGAATAACCCAAGTTCTTATCTTGTTGATAATATAGGGAGCTTCTAGGAGAAGCCGTCTCAAACATCTGTGTTTATCAGACTTCAGCATATTAGTTTAATCATCGAAACCAGTGAATAAGTGTGCATAGTGCTGGCACTGAATTTCACTAAGTAATGTAAAACAGCTAACAGTAGATGAGATCCTAGGTTCTTGTATCCGCATCTAGAAGTAATACTTAAGGCTCAAACACTGACAGGTGTTATTAACGACATTACAAAATCTCTTTACAATGACTCTGTATCATATGTTAGCACATCCATTGCTGTTTTAGTTATACCTGCTGAGTTCAATTCACTAGGTCTATTGCAAGCTTGGTAATCAACAGTTAAGTTCTGGCAGCAATCTACAGCATTCGAAATCCCAGGAAACTGTCTTCTAAGATCTGTAAATAAGTTAAAGTTGTTGGTCTCAACTTTTTTTTTTTTTTTTTTTTTTTTACACACTAATATTTGAAGAATGAGGCGTCAGTTACATTTGTTTTTTTCATTCTTAAGGATCCTTGACAGACAAACAGGGGAATGGGTTGCACACAACTGTACAGGTTATCGGCTTGCAGATAAGCAGCCATGCAGTCTCCAGCAATTCTATAATAATCCTCTTCAGCTCCAGCCATGGCAGAAATAATGCACACGTATGTTGCTTTTGCTTTGATGCTTCCTCTAGGAACATCGAGGATGCAGGAAGATGTATCAACAGTTCAGAAACATCAGTAGATTATTAACTGTACAATAATCTTTCAATTATTTAGGGTTTGTATAGCCTTTTTAATTGAGAATGTGATTCCATTCCTCACTAGAGCCATTGGAGGAACACAGATTTAAACAGGTATTATTACCAGAACAGGTTATGGCGCGGAGTCTAGGAACACCTAACCAAGAAAAAACTCTTGGCTCTCCAGAGACGGTCCCTGCTCTCAAAAGCAAGCATATCATACAATTCTTTTCAGCAATTGATGGGCTTCTGACTATGAGCACTATTAAGATTTAGGGGCAACTTTTTATTCATCATATTTTAAAACAAGACCTAAGCTGACCAGAAACAAGTCAACTCAAGCAGAGGCAATATCCACCCTTCCAAACTGAAGTTACAGATGTGCCCGCCCCAAGGTAGCTCACTCTGTCCCTCCCAACAGTTTCAATGGACTACAAGGAAGCTGAAAAGCTTTGTATAAACACAGCAAATAATAAAGATCAAGAGAAAAAACCTATAGGGATCCTCACAGAAACTGCCCGAGGAACGTATTATCCCGTGTTCCGATCACACTGTATGTCTGCTGACCTTCAAGTGCAGTTTAACTCAAACATCACGGGCTGCTGTGACCTGGTAAATTAGTGTTTGTTCACTGTCTTACACCGTGTTTCATAGAAGGCTATGTATTTATGGACTGAGAAGACTGCCAGTACTAAACTAAGCAAGTGTGACAAATCACCTACAAGCGTTTCAGACTACACCTCGTGCTCTTCCATGGGATACAATACTTTTGAGAATAATTCTGACCAGAACTTTGGTGATATGCTTGTATTTTCAATATATTTAAAGACTGTATATTTTACAAGTGGTGCAATAAATCCATGCATGACAGAAAGAAGGTTCCTATCCAGTGAAGGGCGGTGTTTTCCAAAGGTACCAAGTTATGTTTATGACACTGCAACTAAGAGCTGCATTTAACACATTTGTATTCAATTATTTCAGCATGGTCAGTCATAAAAACAGCCTTTACTATCTCAGTCTCAGCAGACTATTAAGTATGCAAAACACCCACATAGTTCAGAAGCAATCCCCAAACTAGACAACCATTATTGGCCACTTTTGTATGTAAGTCAACAGTGACATGAGACTGTCACTGCAAATTCCCCAACACATAAGTCAACACTGGAAATAGCTAAGCTTTCAAAAATGTACATACAGACCATCTTGAAACAACCAAAA